TTTAAATTAATTTACTTGAAAAAATATTGGCATTTTGAAAAATTCTATAAAGTAAACTATTTGACTTAGGTAAGTGTTTTTACCATCAAAATTATTCTTATAATTAGATTTAGAAATTAGACACGTTAAATTTTTCCAAAAAATTAAAAATTTTTATTTATCTTAAACATATAGGTAGTACAAGTGACAATAATATTATAATATAAAAAAATGTAAATATTGATCAGAACAAAAGTAATTTCAGCTGTCAGTTCTTTCTATAACGTTCTGTATAATATATATAAAATAACGTCGTACGTGCAAAAATTGTACCTAATTTAAATATATTTCCATTTAATTCAAAAATATTTTGTTGTTATTAAAATTGCAGAAAAATGTACCTAGGCGTCACAAGAAAATATAAAACATCTATTTTAAACAATCTGAAATGAAATCCTTCATACGCTTATGTGTATATAATTTCTTTTYTATGTACTTTGTACAATATCGATTTAAAAGTGTTAATATTTAATTATAATACATTTTTATAAAATAAATATAATATAAATAATAGGATGTATAATAAGAAACAATTACAACGCCAATTAAATCTCTCTATCACAATTTTAATACTTAATAATCAATTATATTTATGTTTAATAATAACGTATTAAATGCGTAAAAGTATCTTTAACTAAATTCGTATCTGATTTGTCTTATAAGGGCACTATATTCAAAAGTATTAGTGACACAGAACAATTATTTTTGTCAAATAAAAGTCATGTATGTGTGACGTCCTATACATCGTTTGATCAATACCATCATCAGAACGGCGGCCTCTAGTGTATCCTACAATCTGTTGATAAATTAAACATTTTTTTGATAACATCTAAAATTACATTATTTATGTACATTATATTATCACTGTTATTAGGTACTTGTAAACTTATATATTGTGTTTACGTTGATAATTTTTACAATAAATGTGTGGAAATTTGGAATACASAAATACATTAATCTCACTGGATTTGTAAAATCAAAATTCCAACWGCGCCGYAAATATRGATTATRYGTATAAAATAATAGCGTATTTTATTTTTTATTAATTCTTGTTAAATGTGTATTATRTAGGTACATTGTGTAAATTATACAGAGATTATTACACCTAATCGATTCTTTTTCTCAAACAAAATTCATATTGTGGAGTCCTCTTAAAAATAAAATATATTTTAATCAAAATCGTTAGAACGGCTCTCTAGTATCCTACCACTTGTTTAACTACTTAAAAATGTCTCTGATAACAGTGACAATATAAAATATAATTTTATCAGGTACATTATTAGTTTTTATTATATATTGTCACTGTTATTAATTATACTTACAATTACAGGTGCCTTAATTATTGCACTCATGATAATATTATTTTAATAAATGTAGGTACCTATATCTTATATTCATATAATAAATTTGGACGAATGTTTTAATTAACACAAAAGTACTTTTAACAGCGTCAGTGCTATTACAAATTACAATAGATCAATGATATATGTTTAATATTATTATTACGACGATGGCGTTACGTAATACAATACTATAATAATATTATTATGCAAAATAAACGTCTTCAATAAGTACCTACTAAAGTTTCACTTGCAGCGGCGTCGAGATCGCAATACGATAAATATATATTAGTCTTCCGTAAAAACGAATTAATTTTCGTGAGATTAGTAAAAACTGCAAATAATAATGGATAATGTGCAATTATAATGTGAGATTACGTCATACTCATAATATATACGTATACTAATAATAGTTAATTTATAGACACTCATTTGATTTCAGGATCGATTTTCTTGGTTAATGTTTCTGTTTTTATTTATCTTAAATTACAACTCCGGCTACTATATATAGGATGTAACAGACCTGAATTATACGTGACAAACAAWAAATAAAAATCTATGCTATATAGTATTAAGTGTATCACAAAAATTAAGGAAATTATATGGATAATAAATAATTTAAGGAATATAATATATACTTACTTATGTTAGGAAATCCGAAATTCTCAAAAAGATAATTTTGCCAAAAGTGATTGCATTTCAAATCATTAATCTAATAAAAAAAATAAATAAATTGATACTTAAAAAATTATATAGATAAACTACTTGATTTCAATAAACGTTTTTAACGTCTAAAAACTAGATTTACGAATTGGTCATTCATCTTGAATTTTTCCAAAMAAATTTAAATAGAATCTTACTTATTTTTGGCGATAAYAAGTAAAAATATTATWCATTCCATCTTCTAAATGTATTAAACGTGTGAGTATAAATACCATGATTGATTAAATTACACATACAAGTATATGAATTATTTTTGAAAAAAAAATTAGAGTAAAATAATAAATACATGCCAAGGTCTCTGTATTTTTTACAAATTCATTGTAAATTGTTCATTTATGCCATTTGATAATATTTATATCTTACCCAGATGAATGTCTTTGTCTATACACAAACATTTTTTTTTACTTAAGTATTCTCACTTCAGATTTAAATTTGAATTGCTATAATCATGACTACCTATATTTCTTTTTAAAATAAAAACGTGGAATGATTGAAGCTATACAGAATATTTTTAATTAAGTTTGAAGAATTATATAATATCAAGATTGATCGTATCACATYATAATGATATTAGGTATTATGGTATAATATTTAATCCCACTAATAAGCAATGAATTTCAAACTTAAAAAATTAAATCCTGAAATATTTGTGTTTTATCCCTATMATAWSYWTAACTGCCTTTATAACACCTTTAGGAAGTAGTATACCTACGTAATTTATTATTACTAATTGGTGCTTATATGAAATTCCAAAACTAATCACATTTCTTGTTACTACATTAAACTGGATTCGAAGGTTGAGGCGTTCTTTTCATCGAACCAATAATATTATATTATCACGTATCGAATATACATATATAGGGTGTAATAGAAAGAYTTGYAGGCAAATAAAAATAACCAATTGAGATTAGGTAAAATGGTATGACAAAAATTATGAAAATTATATGTGCAATAAATAATTTSAGAAACATAATAAACTTGTCAAAAAAAGTATATTTTCAAACAATTTATTAWACGTTTAAARTTCTCCAAAAAAATTTAAAAAATAAACTGCTTGAATTACATAAACATTTTTACCGTCAACATTTACCTATTTAAAAATTATACTTAAAATTTTCCAAAAACAATTTAGTTAAATTTAAAATTTTCAGTGTTAAAAATTCAAAAAAAAAATTTTTATAATTTACTTACTTGTAATGTATAGAGTCAAAAATTTAACACAAATTTTGAACCGCATGTATTTGGTATTTTTAACAAGTTACGAAGTGGACAGGATCAGCTAGTATATCTGTATAAAAAATGTTTAAATATTGAAAAGTCATTTTATTTGCCAGATCATCCTGTWGCACTCTGTATACTTCACCCCGTGTCTATTATAATGTGTATTGCATTATTTACAAGGTCGTTGCAGCAGCTTTAAACGCCCGTTGGAAACATATATTATACCTACATGCGCAATGTCATTATCTTTCCGTTGCGGTCGAGCTAATTATTATTATTGTATTTTATGGTCCAGTTAAATTAGCTAAGTAGCTACGAATCACGATAATAATAATAGGTAGGTTAGTATATATGTGTATATATTAGGCATCTACCTATATTACAATAATATGTGTTTGTTATCGCCGCGGTTACTCGAAGACGGATCGACTCTTGGCTCTGGATTGATCTTCACCGTCTACCGCGATGTGAATCAGCAACATTTTTCAGCAATAATCTCGAAATCGTAATGAAGAAACGCTAACGTAAAACCTGCAACCTTGACCCGGTTGTACGCCCGGGTTTCTGCAATTACATCACTGCAGTGGGCCGGTTACCGCGGTATAATACCTAATACCGGTTGGACAGTGGAACATACTCGAGCACGGCCACAGTAATAATATGACGTGTGTGCGCACTTATTATTGCTGCAGCAAATTATCATAATATAGGTACTTATCTAATATACGCGTTGTGCGAGTGATCGAGGGTTACAATTTATTAGACTTTCCAAAAACAAACGAACTTATCGCGACGAAAAGAGTATACATTAAAGTAGGTACTATATGCTACCTTGAACCCGATATAATATTATGTTACGAGTAGTATGGAATACCGGGTACATTTAAATCTGAAAATCTATGAAATTTCGTTCTGCCTGGGAAATTTGAACTGCGAATACAAAAAATTTTTTTTTTTATTCAATTCATCATTATACTAATTATATAAAATTATGTAATTAATTAATTAATTATAATTAATATATTATTAAATATAATCTGTTTATTTTAGAAAATTGATGATTGATTTTTTTTAATGATCTTATATTGTGAATATTTTAAAGCAATTATAAGAAATAACAATGATAATTATATATCTATTAGGTATTGATGTATCATCGATGCACTTGAACGTAGTTAACGCAGTCACAAATCAAATAAATGCAAGTGCAGGAAAGCAGACAGGCTTTGAAATTCATAATGCAATTATAGTAAATCGTGTACAAAAAATAGTCAATGTTAAAATTCTAAATAAACTTAATATAGAAATAAATAATAATTTATATTTTATCAATTTCGTAAGGCGTTGTGCCACCAATATTAGGTAGATAATTACAATTATTATTAAAKTTGTTTTAAAATATTCAGAATATAATAAATAGGAGATGGTAAAATTATAATTACTAATAATAGAATATTGTTRTAATACAAAATATTAAATAATGAACAAAAAATAATTTATTCGTATTCGCGATTTAAATTTCCTGGGCAGGGCCAAATTGCCGTTTCATATAATAATGACAATTTATTGCGAAGTTCACGGATAAACTGCATTTGCATACGCCGATGATTGTCTCACGAGCTTTCGCGCTTGGAACGTGAACAATAAGCGCATTGATATTTAATTTGAATTTAAAAAAAAAAATTAAAATTAATAGATACATCGGAAATGTGATTTAGAAATGGTTAATATCATAGTTTTAAAAGTTTTTGAATTTTATATTATAGTATATAATATTCTGACCTCTAATTTGTTTTGGTTTAAATTAAAAGTATGATTTTACTATCATTTTATAACTAACGGAAAATGTCTAAATAATTTAATATGAATTAGTCTATCAATCATCATATTACAATATTGCGTTTATAATATAACGAAATACGATCGCGAATTTATTGCACTTAGTCTTAAATTTTGATTATTTTTAATATAAAATAATAATATTATTCCTACTATTTATTTTTTGTTTATAGGTGTACAGATTCAAAGGTATATGTTACAGTGTATAGGTAACCTATACCAAGTTGGTGCATTCATTAACATTACTAAAAAATTGAATGTTGATTAAATGTTTTTGCAATCTGAATTTTAAGTAAAATTCTTAATGACTCGTATAATATGAGCTTTCTAAAAATACGACCTCGGCAATCAACGTTATTTTTATGTAGTACCGATTGGAATTGGGTAAATAATTATCGACTATCGTCATACGCGTAGAAAAAAAATTAAAACTTTGTCGACAGCATCATATTAAATTAATACGTAACGATAGCATAAAGCAGTGGTTCTCAACCAGTATGTCACACTGTCTTGATTACCAAGCTGTGAATCTAAAAAAAATTATTCATTTATATTGTACATTGCAACTGTTCAAAGTTTAATTAATATATGAAATTGTTATGGAGTTATGACGTGATGGTAAAAGCAACAGATAAGAAAAACAATTTATTATGAAGATAGTCTTATTTTCCATTTACATAGGTACTTATAACGGTATTAGTCTTTAGATTCAAAATTGTTAAGCTTTTTCATAAATCTATTGGTTGTTTAAGTGTGCTGTTATTTTTAAGGACCTTCATATTATACGAGCCATAAAAAATATTGAGAAGCACTGGTATAAATAGAATAATATTGAAATAACGCCCGAGACAATATATTTTGTAAATCATTTTAATTCACGGATCAATTAATATTACTACAATTAATATTACGTTGTCTTTTTTTATTTTACAGAATGATCTGACACCAAGCATGAACATGAAAGAGCCATGGCCGGCCATACAATCACGAATTACCAAACATTACTATACCTGTTCACGTTCGTCACAATTGGTACGTGCGTGCTGTCGTTCTGGTCGACTGCGGTGTTAATAGACTTAATCATACATGATATCATTGATATCACTAATTATATAATTCAAATATGATACATTTAAGTYTGAATAGTGCTTATAACTGCAGCAGTGCAACTGTATAATAGTTGTGCGCACGACTATCATATTAGAGGCAACGATGTTAAAATGAGTATTCAATATAAATTAGCTTTGGCGGGAGTGATGATATAAGTATATATAAGTCAGTAAAATGGAGGGCAGGGTACGTCTCAAAAATAGAAATCGAAAAAATGCATAATATTTTGTTAAAACTTTGGACTGTTTATTTCTGTTTCGATAAATTTATTCTTTACAAATCAGAGTGTTCGATGACAAATATCAATATGCAATAAAGACGCTGCAGCGCTTTCTTTTCTTGAGACGATAAGATTATCTTTTCAAGGCCTTGGATAGCAGCTATTGGGTGCAAAAATACCACAAATAWAAAAAGATTTTAACATACTGAGTTATGTAATAGTATAATATATAATAATATAATAATTTAATATAATATGCTTATTAAAATGYCCTATAAAACGTTAAAATATCGTGTGAAATATCAAATAAATAAATTAAGTTGCACTATTATATGTTTAAATAATTCAAATAAAAAATGATTTATTATAATATAATAGAATTTAGCTTTTTATTTTTATCACTCTTATCATTAAAATGATTGTATAGCCAAGACCACAGTATAACCAAAAGATACTTTTTGAGTTTAACATGGGTTCTTTTGGGGAACAGATTTGTAACACATGTTGAAAAGCTGCCGGCTGAAATATGATTCTCATTATTCTATGTTTCTAGCGAGATTGTATTTCCGAACATACTGAACAAATTTTTAAGTTCTCAGCGAGTGTCTCTTTTGGTTATTCTGTGCTTCAGCTATTATAGCTGGTAATGGTGTAAAAATTAGTGTTTGATCTATTTTAGTGTTGATCAATAAGATAAAGAGGATAGACTGTATCAAAAATAAAATCAACCAAGCTCTTAGGCAATAACCRGCCCCATCTGACTTTTGCAATTCTTTTTGCGCCAATAATTAGTACTCGATTTGTGTGAATTCCTGACCAGCTTTTATAATTTCTACTTTAACAGTATTTTCCTCCGAGTAGGGTCGGAGTAATGCAATTCCTGTGAATTGAGTACTAATTATTGGTGCAAAAAGAATTAATAAAGTCAGATTGTGGGGAGTGGTGGGGTAATGTACGTCAATCACATCACTTCTTTAAATGTTCGAACAAAAAATTTTTAYCAAGTGACAATGGAAAAATTGATGTCTTTTGTTAGAATTTAAAACTTATAATATTATGTTTTCTAGACCTTGCCACCTTGGATAAAATATTAAACAATGCAATAATTATAAATTGTATAAAATATGCTCTTTTTTTATTACTGTTGATTTAAGCGAAACCAAAAACAATTTTTATTTTGAAATTATTGTAAAATATTATGTTTAGTTTTACTTGCCTACTCTAAAGGGTTCCATGTTAAATATCACGAAAAAAACTGAATATTTTATTTATTGAATATGCACTAATGAGAAAGACATATTATTATAATGCCTTTAAAGTAAAATAGTCAAAAACATTCAAACACATATTATTAATCATGCAAAATATACAAGGTGATTTTTAATCATTGTCCACTCCCTCATTTTTTACTTTAAATAAAAACATTTATTCAAATTCTGTATTTGGAATTTTTAAGTATACTAAAAGACAAAAGTTCATATTTTCAAATTCCTGATATTTTTTTTACCATTTAAGGAGTGTCCTACAATGATAAAAACTTATATTTTTCAAATAAGTTTCTCCCTTTTTACTTAAAATTATTTAGCAGATGATTCCCTTAAAAATGGTACTGTACCTATCTAAATTACAATTCTAATGCGTAGTTTCGAAAGTGTTAAAATGTTTATTCTTACAATAATAATTTTTAAAAATAATTTTATAAAAAAATAACTTTATGTATTAGATTTAGCATTTATTATACTTGAACCATTTTTTAAAAATATTTGTATTGATAGAAMAATAATATTTAATTACTAATTACTAATATTTGTAAATCATCTAAGCCTCACATCTACTTAATCCGTYACCATACACATATTATTATCCTAATAGTACCTACATGCAGTTATATAATTCTAAAACTACTGATTTAGATATAGGCACGTCAACATTCTTAAATATATAGGTATGTGTCGACTGAAAAATTAATAGTGAAGGAGGGTGGTTACTATTTGAAGTTTGTATTGTCACAGGAGTATCCTTAAGTGGTGCAAAAGAATATCCAGTATTCGAAAATACACGTCTTCAAGCGTATTTAAAGATATTCAAAGTCAGAATATCAATATGATATATGATTAATTAAGGAAAACAAGCATGCTTGATATATCACATCGTATACTATTATATTGTGTTACTTTAGTATAGTAAAAGTTACAAAACACATTTCTATCCTTCAATTCAATTTTTACCACTACCAAGGTGTATTAAAGGATGTACAAATTGTACAATTAATGTGGTCAAATGCATTTAATGAACATTCGCCTTAAATAAATACTCCGCAGGTACGTATAACCTAACGTTTCCGCTTTTCCGCGTTTCAGGCGAAATATTGTGTCAGGGTAATAGAGACGTTCCTGCGTCGAGACTGCAGACGCCACTGCCGAAGGGACGCGCCATACCTGTAGCCTCCGCCAATGGAGGCCCTGCAGCGAACGCTATCGGCCGCCCGACCAAACAACAGCAGCAAGACGCCATTCAGAAACAAACAACGCCGACTCCGCCGGTCTCGGTCAAAGAGCTGTTCAACTCTTCGTCGTGCGTCGAACCTCCGTTCACGTGCCCTCATCCGAGGATTCAGTTTTACTTGTACACCAGGTACTACCTAAATAATAATAATAATAATAATAATATGCACAGATTGTAACGAGGAAGAACTGACAACGGAATATGTAATATCACTTCTAACAAACTGTGTAGGAACAAAAAAAGTTAATTCTTGGATAAAAAAAATGATACGATTATGTCGAGATAACGTTAGTATAATTATTAATTACTAATTACATACTTAATTATTTCTTCTGAGTGTATGTGAATTATTTTTATGTGCAAAACCAAAYGGTGCATTTCTATGCTGATGCTATAATGTTTTAACTTTACGCCATGTACCCATTTCCCCCCATGCTTCCTGTACTCATTTATACTCACGGAATACCGAATAAACACCGTCTGAAGTAAAATTAAGAATCATCAGTATTAAAATTTGAGTTTTATTATGATGGTCATTGGTCGTCGTGCGATGGCGACTGCATACATATATATAGCGTAGGACGTAGGTCGCATTATGATAATATATTATATACTTTCTCTCGTTTCGTGACTTTCGTTTACACGCCGAAATAACCGTAATAATATTAAATATATGTTTGTATATAGTATACCTCGTTGTTTCAGGCTCACGCAGAACAATCCCGACTTGTTGGACGTGACCGACCCGGAATCGCTGTACACGTCACATTTCAACCCCAAACATCCGGTCAAGATTATCATACATGGTTTCCAAGGTGGTCGAAATCTGTCGCCGAGTACCGATCTCCGGAACGGTAAGTCAATAATAACAGCGCAATATAACGTTATAGGCGATCGTAAGCTCTCTGTTAGMAGTTTTAAAAATTGGAAGATTTTACCACTGCTCGACGTTGTATGAGTATCCTACCATGTTATGCCACATTCAATTGACGATTCGAAATTCCGTTTTCAATTTAAAATTGATTCATTTTATTATTTTTATTATTTTTATTTCAATACTTAAGAATGATAATTAAGATAGTGATATGTTAAAAATTAAATTGAATAAATACGATTCAACTAGGTATACAAAACCTAGTTATAGTGAAATTAATATTATAATAATAATATACTCGCCTTATTTTTATTTTATGTCGACAGTAAAATATATTTTTTTATTGATTATAATAATTATAATTAAATATTGAGAAATCGAACGAGTAAATTTATTAGAACTTATAAATTTGAAACTAAGGTATTATACAGAGATATTCGCTAAGAATTAAACCATTATTTTTTTCCACCGTTTTTTCTTTAGTAATTAGTATTCATATATTAAAATTCTTGTTTAATGGCATTATACTCGAGGACCACATTTTAGAATGCTTAAATTTAAAAATTGACCTGTGTCAACAGTATTGCAGTTTTATTCAAATGAGATCTACCCTTTTTACTGCTTATATTTTTAGTTGAATTTTTTTATTGTTAGTGAATAATGAATATAATATAAGTACTTACTTAAATCAAAATTTAAACTTTTAATCTCTAAATAGTTAAACTTTATGTGTGGACAACTCGGATTACTAAGTGAAAATATTTTTACAACAGTCTATTGTAATGAATTAAAACTTATAGTGACTACTGGCTATGATTATTTGAAAATCTTCGTAATTTATATTAATAAATAGTGCATAAATTGTCTAAATATAACAAGTTGTTAGTAAAATAGTAACTACTAGCATGTATATTACGTCTATATTAAAGTAAAGCTAATATCGAGGATTATTATTCTTAAMACATCAAGTTTAATAAATTACGATTAAATTTTCATTTAAATGCATCAACATTTTCAAAAAGTCGCGTGTATTTATAGTAATTTACAGTAAAAAAAGGTAGTAGGTACTCATTTGACATTTTTAAACTCATCACAAAAGTTGAAGAACTTTCATAAATATTAAATAATAAATATATATATTAAGTTAAGCTGTAAAATCCTTATACCTCTATTTTAATAATGTGTATGACTTTGCCTTCGTCGCTTGTTATTTTTTTTTTTAACTTTGTGCGTGTTTATGTGTTCTGCAGCTTATTTCACTCGAGGAAACTATAATATTATCATTGTGGACTATTCAAGTTTGGCACAAATACCTTGTCTGAACCAAGTGGAATGGGCGCCCAGATTTTGTGCAATGTGCATCGCTCAACTGGCCAACTACCTGGCCGACCATCCCCGAGGAGTTCCACCCGATAAGCTACACATGATGGGGTAACGTATAGTTTGCTGTAGCCTATTAATAGTTATAAAATAGTGTTCAGTACTTATGGGTAGCATATCGTTTACCGAGTATTACTTTTTTTCTGAGTTTTCATGTGTGTGAAAAATCACGGCAACTGATTTTCTTTATCGGTAGTGGTTTTACTAGGGAGAGGACCAAGCGTTGAGGCTCCCTTCACTTCTCTTGGCCTGAGTATAATATGTGTCAATATATTATTATGTAGATACTCTATACCAGTGGACTRCGAAGGTATTCTGTGTGGCTCGTTAAACATTTTATAAATGAAACAAAATATTCTAAAAAAAGTAAAATTATATTTACTTATCTTATAATAGTAATGATGACAATATAGTAAAATAAAATAAAATATATATTTGRTGGCCCACTCAAAGATAATTACTTACCAAAGTGGCACGCTGAACAAAAAAGGTTGGGCATCACTGCTCTATCCTAATTGTCTATACAATGTATCCCGATTCCTGGGGAAAGTGACCAACCGGTGTATTAATTATGTGGAAAAAATAGCTTTAGAAATAATGWGTAGGTATCATGCGTCAATTCGATGATAACCCCTCTGAGCGCAATTTAAAAATTTACCTGACAATAGTTAACAGATTTGGGTGTATTTATGAAAACACTTTTGGGCATAAAACTGTAACTAGTTATCAAAACATCCAAATCATCAAAATGTTATAATCGTATTAATCGAAATTCGAACGGAGACAAATTTAAATATCAACTGCAGCATTGAAAGAAAAATAACTAATAAATTTAAAAAAAAAAACTGAAGAAAAACAAAAGTTCGTAAAAATTCTGGGAAACTTTTGTAGTTGAAAAAAATATATTGAATTACATAAAAAAAGTTATAACCACACTTTGCGGGAAAACAAATTAATTAATCATATAAAATATATAATAATATTAATATATAATATAAATAAATAATAAAATTAAGACTTAAAAAAAAATGTTTTTAATTATTTTGGAAGACTATTGAGCAAACCTCCTCACGGTGTTTTCTAGTTAACGCTAATAGGCTCAGAWTTAGTATATCATATTAATGTATGCAAAGAAATAAATGCGTCCCATCGTACTATTGTGAAGGTAAATATTACGTCTAAACTTTGTACGGATTTTATGGCCTAAAGTGTTCAGTTTTGGGTAAATGCACCCAAACGTATTTCCTCCGTTATAATTTACATTGTGTATTACATTTTCCACAGATAATTTAAGATGAAAATCCCGTTTTGTATTTATTTGTAAAACCTACATGAACATAATTCGTTCACAAGTAATAGGTAGTCGAAATGTATATATTTCGGTTTTCGAAATGATATATTTCGATAGTCAAAATCTATTTAATTAGGCATTCCCTTTCACTGGCACACTGTCCAAAATTGTGTTGTATTCGAAAACAGGAACATAGGATTAGGTTTTTAAATAGAATCACTGTCCGCTGGCCATTTCGCGGTAGGGGTTTTGCAGTTGTAATGTATTAAAAAATGAAACAAAAAATATTTTAAATTAAAATTAGAATATTATAATGAACAATAACAGATTGTCGTATCAAAATGGATAATTATTCATCTAAAGTGCACATTGTTTTGTACATGCTCAAGTGACAAAGTGACAACTATAGTCGTAAATAATAATCATCCTCAGTTTCTTGCACGTAAAATCTTTCGGCATAAAGAGTAAAACCACGTGAATTTAATATTATTACTATTTTGCTAAACAACAAACCACGTTTAAAATCACATTTGTATAATACCAAAATATTGGTGTTGAAAAATTGTTATTTTCGTTCTAACAATAATCAATATGGAACAACGATTATTGTATATTATACACTATTGCACTAACCTAACAAATGCATGTTGACCTGATTTTAAATGTTCATTTTATACTTCCTTTTATGTTATATTACAATATTTATAATTTATAAGTATAGGTATTATAAGTTTTATAAGTTATAAGAGCTTTATGAAAGTTGAAAATACATAAATTTCTTGTAATCAAAATAATAATTTATTAATGACTAACATTACTATAAAGGCCAAAGGGACTAGTTAAGAGTTAACGACTAACGTTGTTGAAAACCATTATTTTGTGTCAAGCCATATTATCGCCTAAATATTTATCACGATCATAAAACTATTACGTATATTGTAGGCATGCGTTYGGTAACACAATATATTCTCTTAATTATCTAATCACTGCAAAAGCTATTTGCAATACTAGGCAAAACTTCTAAAGGTCTGTAAGCTAACCTAACCTACATATATAGGAGACACGGGCAGCAAGTAGTTTACTCAATTTAGGGGACGATAAATTTATATTGATATATTATTATTGTGTACTATAATATTGTATCAAAAAAAATATATATATACATATACAATATATGGATGTGTATTGTATTTTAATCATTTATTAAAACTAATTATTATTACAACATAACAAATAACAATCTGTAGGTAGGTATTGTTCTTAAAAATTTATTGGAAAATAGGATTAATATTWACTAATTTGGTATCAGAATTGGAGTCTTAAAAAACGAAAGTCTGAATATAACTTGATGATTTTGTAAAAATATTTTTCTGTTTTCATAATATAACACAATATTAAATTAATGAAAATTATAATATAATTTGCTTATAAATTATAATACTCCATCTATTAACTATTTCTTAAAACTCTATAAAACCAATATTAAATAAACAAATTTTAGTTTTCATAAAAAAAGAATAAGCAAAACAAAATCAAAAACGACAATTTTTGTATAATCGTTCAAGTTTTTTTCTTGATTTTAAAAATTGTCATTGAAAAGATTGAGTAATTAGGATTACATATAAGATACTTGTCATTAAATGYTATATAATTTTATGTTATCAAAATAAAATATTAACTGAAAAACAAATGTACTGTTTATTATTATTGCATTTTCACTTAATCTAKATGTATCTACATTTATAACTTTCTCCTAGATGAGAGATTTATAAATAAAATTACCATTTCTTAAAAATATATTTACTTATTCTGATTCAGTCGTCCATAATTCCAACGCAGAACATCTTTCTTAGCTCATAGTTGTTGACCTTACAGAAGGTTACAATAATAATAATAATTAATATGTACTCGTATAATGTATATATATATATATATGTATATATTATACAATAAATTAATAAACAAAAACATGTCAATATAAATTTACCATTCCTTAAATGGTCTGAACAATTTGCCACCCTGGACAAAAAAGTACATTCCCCCCCCCCTAGATATATGAATGGATTCCAATCATTTTAGTGGATATGGACAAGCCTTGCAGCATGTGATCGTCACACAAGGCTTGAATATTGTTTTCACGTTTATACTTTTACACTTATCTATACGACGTGCTATGCGGTGACTTGTTTTGAAATGAAAAACTATTTTTTTTTTTTTATTATTATTATACGTTTATTCTATTCGAAAACAAGTTTTACATAAAGAACGCATAGTTAGATTAATTTTAAAGCAATTTGTTATCTATTTTATAAAAACTCGACCTTTCTCTGAATTTAGTTTTAGTTACTATAAAAGTTAAAAAGTTATATATTGCATTTAATGAATTCAACTTCACGTCTATAATTTTKCGTATTATMTATTATATAGGTAATAATAATATTTCATGTGGCGATGCGCACCACGAATGGATTCTATTTTAATCCTGAAAATTCAATAATTTCACAAATAATGTAGGCACAGAGTGAACAGTGTTGAATTCAGATAGCAAAAATAACATCTAGATAAATATTAGATTACTAGGTAAATCAATATCTAGATTAATATGAAGATAGAATATTCAATTTTTATCTAGATAAATATGTAAATAAAATTTTTTCATCTAGATTTATATTTTACAATAGTTAATTTGTATTAATGCTTGCCATGCTATTAGATTCTTGGTTGAGTAATCGATTAAGGGAGGCAAACCAGGAAGGCTCGTTTCGTGTCAAAAATATATTACCTAATGAAAAACATATAAAATAAATAAATTTACATATAAAATATTTAAATACCTCT